TTCTCTGTCTTCTGGATCTGTGACATCCATCTCCTCCTGCCCTGGACATCAGAACTCCAGGGCCTTCTGACTCTAAGAACTCACACAATCAGTTCCCGTGGTTCTCAAAATTTCAGATACAAACTGGAAATTACACCATCCCACTTTCTTGATTCTTCATCTTGCAGACAGTGTATCATGGGACATTTTAGTTTCCATAACCTTGAACCAATTCCCATAAGAAATCTCCTCTTAAATATCTATACGTCAATATACATATAGAGATACAGCCTATTGGTTCTGTTTTTTTTAGAGAATCTTGACAGATACATAGTATAAATAGTACTTCTAGTGGGTGTGGGGTGAGGATGTTTTGAACAGAGGGAATATATTCCAATTTTCAGTCAGCCAAGAGCCAGGATCAACATAAGAAACCTCCAGCACCCCTCTACTCTCCTTTTCTGAATGATCTCAAAGAATGAAAATTTTCAGGATTTAAGGGCTTGGGCAACTTTCCCCTTGTACTCTTTTAAATTTTATGTATTTTAATTTCCCTTAAATGGTAAACGAATTTTATCAACCTGTGCTGCATATGAAACAAAGCACCTTGCTACTCTGCTGCTGAGTAAGACAAGGCAGGACCCTTTTTCTACCTTGATCCTCCCAATCTCAGCCTCCCAAGCAGCTAGGATTGCCAGTGCCTGACAGCAAACACATTGTTTTTATAGCTGCAAAGCAAACCTGTGAACTCCCAACTAGCTTACTAGGCACTGTTATTTTTCCTCCTTTAAGTACTCAATTCAACATCTCTATGTTTTCCATTGCTTGACCATGTAAAAAGAAAAAAGATAGTGTTCTACTGTTTAAAATTTTCCCTGAAGATAAGGAAAATATGTTCTATATATGCGTATTTATCATATAATTGACTCCCTTTCTTGGAAATGATTTGATGGTCAGATGCTAATTTTGACTGGAGAAGTTTTAAGGGAAGCAAGTCTACACAACTGTCTTGAGAACTGTGTGGGGAAGCTGCCCAAAGCTTATTTCCACATGGCACTTAAATGAACAAAGGTGTGCTTCTGTGTGCTTCTGTGGTCTCTTCACTGAGACACTGGAACACTGCTGTGTTCCTACTGCTTTCAGGACTTTTTCAAACTTTATTCCATCAAGAAACAGACTTGCCTCCTACTCTGAATGGTTGCTGTAGGGCCACCTAGGGTTAGCCTGCAGTCCTTCCAGTGTTGGTCTACCATTTTTTTCTGTGGAAGCTTCCTGGTGTTAATGGCCAAGGAAGAGACCAGGGCCCACAGTGAGCAGAAACTCTCTACCTATCAGGAAAAGGCCAGCTAGTGCCAAAATCCTTCATCTAGGGCATCAACATGGTCTAGCCCTTGCAGAAATGACCGAACAGTGGAGATATTCATTTTATTCCAAGGACTATAAACCAAGTCATAAAAAACTAATAAATAAATTAGAACGTGAAATACATTATCTCACCATGTTAAATATATCTTTCAAGTGAACAGAATGTCCCCCTTTTCTTGTTGATAAATAAATACACATCAAAAGTTTGCTTGGTAAGTACAGAATTAAAGTAAATGAGACAGTTCTCAGATATTTTCATCCTTGTCTTAAAGCTCCCTAAGCCTGTCTCTCAAGGATGTCAGACAACTGTGCAGTGTTCAATCTGTACAACAGTACAGTTCAGTTCTCTCTTACAAACTGTATTGCTCCTTTATCTTAATTTGACCTTCTCTAGACCTGGATAGTTTAGGACACAAAGCGTTTGCTTCTTTAGTCCCTGTTATGTTTTGGATATGGTTTTTGCATTTGTCCTCCAGAGGATCATGTGTTGAAAAGTAACCTCCACTTTGAGATAATAAGAGAGTGGAAACTTAATTCAACTATGCTAGGAGGAATTCAAGTTTAAGGCCAGCCTAGGCTACATAGTGAGTTCAAGGCCAGCCTGGGCTATACACAGGAAGGACTAAGATGTAGTTCAGTGGTAGAATGCTTTCCTAACATGTGCAAGGCCTTGGGTTTGATGCCCAGCACCAGAAAAAAAGATGAATGAAGAGAAGGAGGAAGAAGAAGAGGAAGAGAGACCAGAGGACACACACACACATATGTGCTCCATATCTCATCACGGTGGCCCTGTGCCACCTCAGTACTGTGCATTCATGAAGGTGAAACATGTGGCCCCTTGATCCTCCAGAACTGTGAGCCAAATAAACTTTTCTTGTTTTTGGTGGTACTGGGATTAAAACTCAGGAATTTCTGTGCTCAGGTTTGAACTCTCCAATCCTCTAAAGTGACTATACAATTACTAGTAGGATACTCCACGTTTTTCCAACACATTTCTTTCCATCTTTCTTTTACTTTCCATTCATTCCATTCTTCTCACTTTTCTACACTATTTGCTTCTGTCCAAGATTTCCTCTAGAGGTTTCCTAATTTGTAATTGTATAAAATCTGTGGCAAAAAAAAATTTCCCAACCAGTCAGGACTGTGTGTATCTGTATGTGTAGAAACGCATGTGTGAGCGTGGGTGAAAAGAACGTCAACGTGAGGGTGTCTGGAGTTTGCCGTCTTTGTTTGTTTTCCCCAGGAAGAATAGTAACTTCAAATATAAGTGTTCTAACAGCTTGAGAACCAACAGAGCAGAATGAAGGAAATCACAGGGCTATACTACAACCTTGAAGCTATTTCTATTTCAGACATTTTTCTGCCAAGACAATGCTCTTGAGGTGTTTACCCTTGGTGTAGTTTTTAAGCTACAACTAAAAGAGACAGATTAAATATACTTTAGGGAGTTAAGACTTGCCAAACACTATTGAAAACTTTATTCCTAAATATTAAGTCAAATGCAAGGCTTCAGATTCCAAATGTCACATTGCTCCTTCAGATGGGTACAACTACAGGACCCTACCAGACCTCAGGGGCAACACAGCCTGTAGGAGTTTATAACAGTATGCATAGTAGTCAAAGAATCCAATTTCTTCAAAATTAAAATACAAGGAAAATAGGGGCTTGTGGAGTGGCTCAAGAAGTAGAATGCCTGCCTAACAAGTATTAGCCCTTGAGTTCAAACCCCAGTACTGCCACACACACACAAAAAAGCAGAAAAACAAAAAAAAGCAAAGAAGTGAAAGAGACAGGAGAGAACCTATAGATTAAGAGATTTAAGGGACATGTCAATTGCACTAAGGACAGGTCAGTATGCAATTAGAAGTTTCTCAGAAGGTGACAGGCATGAATGGTGAGAGAAACAGTGGGAGCACTGGGGGAGGGAGTAAATGGTAGCTGCGGCAACTTAGGTACATAGTAACTTTTTCAGTGACCCCAGGCATCTCCCAGCCAAGGTATCTGTGCAGTCATTTCCTTGGAGAATAAAGACATGTCTTTGTTTGTGAGAAAGGCCTGGGATGGGAAAGTACATGCTGCAAATTACTGGACTCCAAATCAGGTCTTCTTACACTCCCTACATCATGTCCGTTTGTATGGGCACCACACTAGAGACCCAGAGCAAAATACCCATCAAATAATAGCACAGAAAAGCAAAGGGCAGATATTCTGCTCATTACACTATAACCTAACACTCCAAGTATTTCCTATCACTATTTGGCAAAGTTTGGTGACTAATGGAAACCCAGATAAGAATACCCAAAGCAAAATACCATGCTCACATCTCGGGGCGCTGTTCCCAGATGCCATCTTTCTTCTCCTTGGAAAGGACAAATGTTTGTCCTATTTCTCCAGTGGATGTGACTTATGTAGCTCTTTACACTTCACTGATTTCTTTTTTGACTTAGTTTCTTCATACCTTAATTACTGATGTCTTCTTAAATTCAATCCTTGTTCTTCTTTTCTCCTTTTAGAGGCTCAAACACTCCCAAGGCTTCTGCTATCACGCCTAAGTCAAGAGATACCACATCCAAACTCCAGCTTCTTGTACCATACCTCTGCCTTCCTGCTGTCTGTCCTCACACAGATGTCACTCCTAGCTTCGACCAAACACATCCACATCTTCACTTCTCTATTTCTGTCCGGGCTGACACCACCCTCCTCAGTCCTTTAGATTTTAAAACATGACATCATTTTCAAGTCTTCTGTATCCCTTATTTTGTTAAACAAGTCATTCCATTGAGCTACTGAATTCTCCCTTCCTGTTACCTCATCACAAGATGAACTAGTCAGCACATACCTGCAGTACAGTGGCAGCACCACTTGCTTGCCTTCCCACTCTTACTGCTTCTCATCCAATCCATCCGGTCTAGCATTCCCAGAACTTCTTTCAACTTTTGTCTGATCACTGTACTGTTCAAGAAAATATCTGTTTCCCCTTAATTATCACACTAGGGCTGTGCCTGCATTGGCAAGGCTCTCTATAACATGCCCCCATCAACAAGCTTACATTTTCACTGCTTTAATTACATGTTCACATAATTCCTGCTTTTTTTTTCCCATGCTGGGGATCAAACCCAAGGCCTCACACATGTCAGACAACTACTCTACCACTCAGCTCCATTACCAGCCCCACGTGATTTGTTCTCATTGTTCTTTCTCTTTGTTTAGAATTCTTCTTCTGCACCTCCACTTCCAAATGCCAGCCTACTCCAAGGCCCTTCCCAAATCCCAGCTTCTCTACCTTTCCTTACATGGCTACATCACTCCCTACTTAATTTACACCCTTCTCATGACTTATACTTAATGACATGACAATCATTCAGTTATCGTTTTCTTTTCTCCAGCTACAAGGTGAACTCCATAAAAAAAGGGTATAGTTTTTTATCATCTTACTATATATCCCAGAGCTAAAACAGTGAATTTTTTAGAATATGCAAGTTAATTAATCTACTAAATATATTTGATTTTCTTTGACTAAAAGCCAGACACACAAATCAGTGCTGTACAATTAATGAGTATAAATATTGACAATAAAGACATGTATCTATTATCATTTGATTATTAAATGTTATACATTAATTGTGATGCTATTAAGTGTAAAAACAATTTCTTACCAGATTTTATGCAGTCTGGTGACTTGCAAATACCATCTAGAAAAAGAGAGAGGTGTATAAATATTTACAAAAAGTATTTTTAAATTGTTTTATCTTTTGTTCTTTTAAAACTTCCAATTAGCCAGGTGCCGGAGGCTCATGTCTACAACCCTAGCTACTCAGGAGGCAGAGATTAGGGGATCATGGTTCAAAGCCAACCCAGGCAAATGGTTTGTGAGACCCTATCTCAAAAAAACCCATCACACACACAAAAAAAAGGCTGGTGGCATGGCTCAAGGTGCAGACCCTGAGTTCAAACCCCAGTACCACAACAAAACAAAACAAAACAAAACAAAAAAACCTGCCAATTAAATAAGCAATTCCTTAAAGCAAGAACTAAACACTAAGTATTATATATCATTGTCAATAGTTAAAAAAAATTACAGGGGAATAAGATAGGCAAATCCTAAATTTAAAGTTTGATGATAAAGAAAAATATATTATTATAGCACCTCCATTAACTAAGTATGCCCTAGGCTGTTAATTTGAAATAACTACTTGCTTCATTCATCATTCAGTAATCATTTTTTTCCACTAAAGAACCGATCTTTACTAATCCTATTGTGAAAAATTTCCAAGACTCAAATAAGGCTACTTAAATTCCTGTGGAGCCCTTTTCGAATTTCAATGACACAACAAAAATTGACTAATGACTATTACTGAAGTTGATCACAAAACTGTGCATACTTTAATCAAATAAACTGATACATCAGAGTCCTCATAAAGTAAACATGAGTGCACTAAATATACCTGACAATTAGTAACTTTCCTCAAACTTGAAGCCAATGTACTTTAGTCTAAGTTCATTGTTTTGATGCTCTGATGTTACATTTTATAAATGAATCTTTTGTATACCCGAGTGTCTCCATCCTTGGCACACTCTTAGGTGAATGGTCAGAGCGCGGGATGAAGGTCTCATTTTCCTGCACGGGTGAATGCAGGCATGTGCGGGTAACTCACCATCATAGGTTGCGTAGAGTGCTATCATTGTCACCGCGATGACAGTCAGGAGCAGGACGAGGACCGAGAGACTGATTTCCAGTGGAGTCCATCGCTGTTTCTTCTTTGGCTTTGGAGTGTTGATATCAGTTATATCCATCTGACTTTCCGATCTTCCCATCACCTACAATCTGCCAAAAAATGTATATATAATTTTCTCAATGCTTAAAAATGTGGCTGAATAAAAGCAAAAAGTTTATTTATTTTAATTTAATGAGATAAATTTTTGTTAGAAAAATCATAATTTTGATTCTGGAAGCAAAGAATATTCAACCATATGAATATGATGACTTTCTTTCTCAACCTTTTGTTTTTTTGATAATCACTGAAGATCTCAGCAAAATTTAACAGAGTCTTGGTCAAACATTCACATGTATTATTTCAGAAGTTTATCAGCAAATAACTGCTGTACCATCATTAAGAAAGTTTTAAACTCACCTTCTCAACTTTGGACTAATGTCAAAGGTTAATGTATATGTCGTTCCAGTGGTTTCTTTTACAAGCTCAAAAATCAGTGACTAATACCTTGAGGTTTTGACTAAGCAATAATTTCAAATATGAATACACATAAAAACCAAAGAAACAAACATTTGGCTAAGCAATAATCTAAAATACATATATAGGGTAAAAATCAAAAGAAACAACACTTGAGGTGGCTTATTGTACTTAAAAAATGTACTTTTACAATTTGTAATTATTAATCCTGCTGATAGGGCTACTGAGTAAACTGGTTAGACAACATTCTGAATGGTCACTCGCTGGACCAAAAGTCAATGGTTTATACCCAACGATGAAAGATAATAACCACATCAATAGTTTTTTGTGCAAATGAAGGAGGAAAAAACATACGCTCAAAAAAAAAAATCTATCTTGCAGACAAGGTATCAATTGTTAAGAGATATATTTGACTTGTATTTAAATTAATACTTCTACCAATCATAGTTGACATGTATGGACTTCTTTTCATACATGTCTTTTTCTTTTTGGTGATACTGGGGTTTGAATGCAGGGCTTCCCGCTTGGCAGGCAGGCGCTGTACCATTTGAGCCACCCCCCAACCACCAATCATAGCCCTTAGTGGCTTCCACATACAATTCATATAATCTTTACCGGATGGATATTGCATTCTAATTCTACACTTCAGGAAATTGGTGCACAGAAAAGTCAGGCTGGCTTTGAGTTGCCCAAACCTATACAAATAGTCAATATTCTTCATAAGGAACATTTGCTCACTGTTTGAAATACAACGTTTCATTTCATCATGCAGTAAAAGCTACTTTAGATCTTACTGCAGAAATTGAGGGTGGAAAATTAAGGGGATAAAGCCTAAATATTAAATTTCACTGTTTCTTTTAGTGGCCTAGTGGTTCTTTACAGGTAATATGCCAAAGCTTAGAACAAAGAATTTCAATTTTCCTACATAACTGTACAAAAAAGAACATCTCAGACTAATAGATTAACTGTTTATGGCTCAATACAAACTAACCATAGAACTTAGATCCTAAATGAAGCAATTGCTCAGAAATGTTGTTATCCTTAAAGAACTTGGTTGAATATACACAATTTCCTGAGGGTGTATTCTGTGGAAACTGAGGCACCATACAAAATAGAAAATGACTGTATATTTGAAGCCAGTCCAGGAGATCCTGCAGATAACTAGGCATTTATTTCCCCCACAGGGCTATTTATAAGTGAAACACACTTGGACTTTCAAATGTTGGAAACAAAGTCTTTAAAGGGTGCTGTCCTCTTGATTACATGAAGCTATAAGCAAGGACAGAGTATCAAATAAAAATATTTTATTAGACAATGAAAACCGTGTCTGCTCAATGAAAGCAGAATATAATGTACCTGAATGTTGAACTGTCTTATTTAATGGTTATGTAACTCATGTTAGCTTAGTCTCACAGCCCCAGGAGTGATGGTATGGAATTGAATTGACTGTAGTTCTATTGTAACAGGGGTGGTGGTTGGGCAAAGAAAGTAACAAATTTAATACCTGGACTCCTTACAGAGAAGTAAACAAAAAGAATAATTCTCCCACTCCTCCTGGACTTGGAGACTGACCTCAAAGAAAACAGCTGAATATATTAACCACAGTTCCTTGAGAATTCCCTAAAAATTTCTCTCTCTTCTAATAATATTTCAGAAGACAATCTAGAGAAATGTTTTAGCTGAATAAAAACCCACTTTTTTTTCTTTAGCTCTAAGTAACATTTTTAGAAGTGCCAATCTCACTAGTGCCTCTGTAACATAAAACTGAAGGCAGAGGAGCCAGGGCAGCCTAGGGGCTAAAATCAAGCCACTCCGTGACCCCACCAAGCACCCTGGGTAGTAAAGGTAGTAAGCAGATGGTTCTCTTTCCCCCTTTGGCTTCCTGAGCCCTGGCTCCCCTCCTTATCCTTGAAAAGGGTGCCAAGGTAGCTGAGTTTTTAATGGTTTGCCACCTAAGGCTGCAGAAATAGTTACAGGGAAATTAAGGCAGAAACTAAAGCTGTTTCATCCTCTTAGCTACATCAAAAGAATATCATCTTTGAATCACCTGCAAACTTTTTCTCCATCGGCCCCTCTTTGCAAATGCTTTGTAAATGATTCAAAGTCTTTTTACCCCTAAAAGCACTTTTCAACAGTACTGAGCAAATCTGAAAAGCTCTAAGTTTATCCTCTCAATTAAATTTGTGATTCATTCCCAGTTAATTTCAAATGGTTCATTATTTTCTTTTAAGAAAACAAGAGTCAGCATACTGAACCTCAGGATGAACATCCTCAGTTACCTGCATATCCAAATGAACCACACCCAGCCATATTTAAGAGAGGGATGGGGGACAAGTAAGCAAGAATACAAAAATGTACATAAAGTTGATACTTATAGTTCTTTTTAAAGTAAAATATGCAAAAGGAAACCTACATACTTAAAATATTTCACCTCAACTCGAGATATGTTAAGAAGTTAAACTGAAAAATAGATACCACCATAGAAGGGAACACAATCGGGAGGTCTAACTCAAAGAGCTCTGCAAACTTCAGCTTGTATAGCCGAAGCATGAAGTGAGCATAAGCATCACTTTACCAGCTGTCCAATCCTGAAACCTGGGAGGCCAACTATTTGTCCAACGGACATGTGAGTCCCAGCAATTTCCATCTTCACAGCACACACAATATTCAACTTTTTTCTACAAGTCTCTGAGGTCCTGCATGTAATCACAGTTTGGAAACTGAGGCAGAGGAAAGAGAAACACGTTCCATATGTAGACTGTGTCTGCAGGACACAGGGAGGTGCTTAGGAGAAATCACTGCTTCTCTTCCATTGATTAGTAGGTGTTTCCCAGGCCTTTAAGTACGGAGTTCTGGACTCCTAAGTCCCTCCTCGCTGCTCGTATGTGTAGTGTAGCTATACAAAGACACTTAGCATCGAATCCAAAAAACTGCCCGCCACAAATTTTTTAAGAGCTTGAACCCAGCAAGAATTCAAGGGAGTGAGGCCACACACCCTCCTAGTCAATTTGCCAATTAGCTGCTTCCAAAAGCTGACGCTGCAGGTTAGGCACTACTTTTCAGTTTAATAAAATTGCCATCTAAACCATATATGGAGGAGGAATAGACTTGATTGAGACGCTAAAGAGAGGTATCCGGTTGCAATTGCCCTTATTTCAAACAGTATAAATAGATTGCGATCAGAGAAGTCAGGAAAGGGTCTTAAACTTCCATCTACAAAAGCACTCCCCACCACCACCACACACACACCGCCCCAACCAACGCTTGTGAGATTTAAAGCAGAAATTATATAATAGGAAATTAAGGTTCAAAGCAAGATGAAGAGGTGGGATCATGAAAAGATCTTCAGGTTAAGAAAAGTAAAAAAAAAAAAAATCAGAAAAGTGAGCTAAATGAGAAAATCCGACAAAACGCAAAATGAAAACAAACCTGGCTTTTTAAATAAACTCAGTGTCTGTAGAGCGGAATGGCAAATTCCCAGCCCCCAAATGAACCCGGGCGCAATGTGGTAACGCTGATCTGTGACCACTCATAACTCCCGAGGCCGCGGCTGCGGGGAGCTATGGAAATGACCTGCGGGGTGGACCTGACATCACTCGCAGAGCCCTCCTCCTCCTCCAGGTCCCCTCTCGGCCTTTCCACGCCCCACTCCTCAGGTCCCGCGCGGCTCCTTCCCGGGGCACGCCTCCCGCGCCCGCGCCCGCGCCCGGTCCCGCGCGCCTCCGGCCGGCTCGGTCCCGCGGCGCCCGTCCCTCGGGCTCCCGCGCCCTTCGGACCTCGCTTCCCGGAGCCGGCGGCCGCGCCAGGACTCACCGCGGGCTGCGGGAGAAGTTGGAGGCTGCGGAGGTGACACATCCCGGCCGATGAGCGCGCGGAGCCGGCCAGTCCGTGCGTCCCCAAGGCGCGCGCCAAGCCCACAGCCGACTCCGGGCGGTTCCGGGCGCGCCTCGGCACGGCGGGAAGGCGGCGGGGACCCCGGCATCCCTCGCCCCCCTCGCCGAGTCACTCACCGTGGTCGCGCGGCTGCTGCCGCCGGCGCTCGCTCGAGCTCCGTCGCTCGCTCATCTCCGCGCCCCGCGCCTCGCCGCTCCCGCCCCCCGCCTCGCCGCCGCAGGACCTCGACGGCAGCAGTTCCCGGGGTGACCTGAAGGTTGCTGCGAGTCCCCCAGGCCCTGTCGCCTCGTGGGACGGGGACGGTCCCCGGCCCCCCACCTCAACATTCCCAAAAGGGCTTGGCCAAACATTCCTGGAATTGCTTAGGGTCGAGGCTGGCAGGAAAACAATCCGCGCTCTCTTCGGGGTTCGCGGTGCTGCTGGAGGGTCGTCCTCTGTAGTGGACCCGCGCCACAATGCTTCTCTCCCGCACACTCACTCTTTCGCTCTGCCTCCCTGCTTTCCCTCCCTCTTCCTTCCTCTTTCTTTTTTTTTCCTTCATTTCCTCCCGATTCTTTCTTTCCTTTTCTTTTTCCCTCTCTCTCTTCTTTTCATTTCTGTTTGCTTGAGCAAGATCAGAGACGTATGATGCCAAGATCTATACTGAACCCTCCCCGACCCCACCCCCCCAACACACACCTGACTCCAGGGAATCGCTTACGTTATTACGATGGGAGCGAGAAAGCCAGCCACATAAGCTAGAGTGTCTGTTAGAACGAGCTGTAAGGTGGCTGGACCCTCGACAAATTCATACAGTCGAGAAGTCCACCATTTCATTTAAGACACTTGAGATTCTCATGAAGGGTAAAAAAAAAAAAAAAGATCGTTTACAAAAGCTGCCTTTTGTAAAAAAGCAGACATTATTGCTAAGGAACTCAGAAGTTTAACTGCACTTTTTTAAATTCCAGGATTTTTAATTCCGTTATTCAGTGCCAAGTATCTAAGTTGCTTTAACATTTGTCCCTTTCTCATTTGAATCACAAATTACAAACACACACACACACACACACACACACACACACACACACGGGAATTCATACTGAAATACAACTGGATTTTCCTGAACTTGAAATTATCTTTTAACATCAAAATGACTTACTGCTCTAGAGGAGTTCTTTTGCATTAACAAGTTTTATGTCCTTTTAGTAGGAGAGAAAGCTAAAAGGCAAGAACAGGCAATACATGCTAATGAATAGTAAGTGGAATACGATGAAAAGACATTTCAAGGCAAAGTTAACCAGTCTTCAGGTCATGAAGTTCACATAGATGTAGCTAGTGTGGAGATGGCCAGGTCTCTGTGCTGTACTGTTTCTCTGGGCATAGTTGCAATAGGACTCAGTGCTCACAGAGATGCTAAAATATGGGTGTAGTTGCTCCCAAGAGGCACAGGCAACTTGGCTAACACCCAGGGAAGCATCTCAACTGGAATTTGACCCAGTTCATTTTGACTCAAATGCATAGTTGCTGCCATTCTTCTTTTACAGAGGACTTACCCATAGAAAAGTGATTTAATCAAATTCATTTGGTGAGAAATCTAGATCTTTGACCACTCCAGCATTTAATTTTTGTTACTTTTCAGTTAAATTACCAAAATGTCATTTCAGCTTTTCATTAATAATGGGTCAAAATGAATTAGAAAATCCTTTTTTTTTTCTCATAGCCAGTTCTGTCCCTGCATGTGGTGCTGTGAGCATTACATTTCAATACATTTCTGATTAGCATAATAACGAATTTTGGTGGAGGAGGTGGCTTGGTCACAATAATGCAAATATTTGAATACCAACTGGAAATGCAAACTAAGTTCTTATTCCTGATCTTAACCTTTCTAGTTGAACCTTTCAGGTTAGAGTATGTTTTCCAGTTTGCATCAAGGTTTTAAACTGATAAAGTTCCTTTGGAAGGTAGTGTTCTCTCAGGGTTCCAGAATACCCACCCCACCAACCTCCCCACCTGTGGTGGGGATTGAACCAAGGGCCTCAGGCTTGCTAAGCCTCCCTCCCTTCCCCAGCTACGCCTAGCTTACAGGACTGCTTTGATACAAGTAGAAAATAAGTTAGTCTGATTTGTTTCAGCTATAAACTTACAGCTGAAATCTGAAAATGTAATTGATCTCTTTTTAAAAAAATAATCATTAATGAAAACTTTTCAGACTAGTTATGAGCAAATATCTCCATTTTATTTCAGTCTTATTAAAAGAAAAATAAAGTCTGTAGGGAGACAATTCAAATGTTGCCTCTGGTAGGAGAAATTGTATAGAAATGGTGTAGGTAAAATGATAGATTTAGTTAGGTTGTACCTCAAAAGAAAAAAAAAATGTCAAAAGTTATTTTTAGATTTTGACCTTCAGTTTATATGCGACGGTATGGGTGGAGAACTTGTCTAATGTACCATAATGTCATAAAAGTTCTTTAGAAACTCACAGGTTTTTTATCAAGAATTCTGTCTTTTCCCTAAAAAAGTTATGCAAGTTTGAAATAATTTATTTTTAAATGATCTAATAAAGAGCCCCCAAGTAAGTACAATCAGAAACCCAAGCTTAACAAGGTTGTCTAGGGTCACTCAATTTGGCCAGTTATAGAAAAAAAGTTTGTAATCACGGTGCCCAGGGCATAAGGTATTAATAGGGGAGTGGGTTGATTCTGACAACATGAAAGACACAGCCTTAGAAACTGTCCCTATAAATGTTTGACTGTTTCGTTTTGTTGAGATGGGGGTTTGAACTCAGGGTTTTATACTTGGAAGGCACTCTTATTATTTGAGTGAGACCTCCAGCCTATTTTTGCTCTGGTTATTTTGGAGATGGGGTCTCGTGTACTAATTTGCCTGGAATCTTGATCTTCCCAATCTCAGCCTCCCAAGGAGCTAGGATTTCAGGTGTGAGCCACTGGTGGCAGTTTTTTTTTTTTTTTTTCTTTTTTAAAGATTCTAACTGCACCACCAAGCTAGTAAGAAAGTAAAGGAAAAACCAAGAACAACCAGAAATTTAGAAAGGTGTGTGCCTAAGGCCCACAGCTGCATGGATAGATCCAGCTAGCTCAGAAGGCCTCACAAAACATAAGTGCCTTGGAGCTTCATTTGAAAAGGACTTATCTGTCCCAGGACTTTGTACAAAGCATAGTCCAAACAAAGATTCTTACATAAAGCTAGGATCCTGAAAAGAAGCATGTGCAATGAAAAGGTAAGCTAACAAAACACAGAGCTCAAAGCCCACCTCCACCCTTTTTGTCCTCTTGTCACCACCACTTCCACTAAGGATAGAATTGTTAGGTTGTAAGTCATATGCGTCTACATTTCTTGTAAACATTTCTCAAAATGCTTACCAAAGTGTAGGGGTGTTTTGTTTGTTTTTCTGACAGCACTGGTCTTGAACTCAGAGCCTCAAACCTTCTAGGGAGGTACTCTTACCACTATGCCAGCCCTCTTTTGTGATGGATTTTTTAAAAGATGTGGTCTTATCCCTCTATTTGCCCAGGCTAGCTTTGAACCTTGATCCTCCTGATCTCTGCCTCCTGAGTAGCTAGGGTTATAGATGAAAGCCAGAGGCACCCCACTAAAATGTAAGTTTTAAAAAATGTATTTGTTTGCTTTTTCAAGCCTTGACTCAAGCTAGTACACTTACAACAAAAATTCTCTGAGAATTCATGATCAGACAAAACTTTACATATTTGAATATTTGCTCAAATGTTCTCAAGTTAAAAGTTTATAGTAGAGTGGTCCCAGCTAGATGTTACCAAATAAACATTGAAAGAATTCCTATCACCTGGGAACTTCTTGAGAATGAACTTGTGGAATGAAATGATAATTGGTGGAAGATCTGATTTATAAGAAGGAATTTCACAAAGAATCTAGCAATATAGGCTACTAGATTTACATGGATAAATATAAGCATACTCTAAAAGTAGGATTAAAAAGATCAGCTAACAGGCTGCTCAGGATGGCATGCAAATCGGGAGAGTGTTGATTAGAGTTAAAACACTCTAAAGCCCTTACGTATGCTATTATTGACTAGTTTCAATGTTTAGGTTTTATTAAGTTAATTGTACATGGAAAGATTAGCAGTGTAAGTACTAAAAGGATAAAAGTGGACTGTGTAAGGTCACATCTTGTAGGGAGAGAAAACTGGAACTACATAAAAATCAATCTAAAAGGAAATATACAAAGAGAAAAAGTGAAATATTAGAAAAGTACATATAAGAAAGAAGAAATAAATCAAAATATATTAACCACAATAAATATAATTGGACAATTTTCCTAGTTAAAAGACAAAGATTAAATAAACAAAATTCACCTTCACTTTTAGTTTATAAGAGACACATGTTAAAAATGAGGCTATGGCCAGGCACAGGTGACTCACACCTGTAATCTTAGCTGATCAGGAGGATCATAGTTTGAAGCTAGCCCTAGCAAATAGTTCTCAAGACCCTATCTTGAAAGTACTCAACACAAAAAAGGGTTGGTGGAGTGGCTCAATTGTTACAGCACCTGTCTACTGAACATGAGGTCCTGAGTTCAAACCCCTGTCCTGCCAAAAAAAAAAAATTGGCTATAGAATAGTTGAAAGCAAAACGATGAGAAAAATGAATCAACCAATATAACCAAAGGATTACTGGTCTAATCATATTGTAACAAGATAAAAGAAACTAAAGTTTTACCTCCCTAAAATGTATAGTCAAGCAGGCTATACTACACTTTGAGATTATAGTGGCAACCTCCTATAATCTCAGCTATTTGGGAAGCAGAGACCAAGAAGACCCATGTTCAAGGCCAGCCCAGCCAAAAAGTTAATGAGACCCTATCTCAACAGTAAATTGGGCAGTAGTGGTACATACCTGTAATACCAGTTATATGGGAGGCACAGGTAGGAGCATCATGGTCCTGAGACCGGCCCTGGCCAAACACTCAAAACTCTATCTGAAAGATAGCTTAAAAGCAAAAGGGGCTGTAGGCATGGCTCGAATGGTAGCGTACAAGACCCTGAGTTCAAACCTCAGTATCACCAAAAAAACAAGAGTATTCAGTTCAACAGGATGGTGCAATTCTAAATTTGATTATAACCAGTTGCACAAAATTTAAGTATATTCTTCAAAACGACATAGAACTAAAAGGAGAAATTGTATTTCACCAT